ATCTCGTCTTCACGTTTTGGGGTTTCGGTTTAGGGGTCAAGGGTTGGCTTAACCGGTTTAGGGTTTAGGGTTTGGTGGCTTAGGAGTTCTGCTTTGATCAATCTAGAGGGTACATGTGGCAGTTCCTGTCCCGGCTGACTACATACTGTACATGTGGCTACATGTTGCCGTCCACGCTATTCTTAATCCGTTTCTTGGGAACATATGCGAATCCCCTTGTAGGCAGAAGTATGTGTCGTACGGGGCAGCCCACCGCGCGGATGAGAGTGCGAAGACAAGAAAGGTCGATACAGAGTCGCGAACTGCTACCTGGGGGGGTTCCGTTTTAGGGGACCCTAGTATAGTACCCTAGACAGTGGGATCCTTATTACAAGGGTACCCTTATATTCGGAAACTCCGATATATAGCGGCTTCGGTCTTGCTTGGATGCAGAGTTTAAAGCCAATGCTCAGGCATTTGTGCCCCCTAGAACGATCCCTGCCTACCAACCCATGTGGTGTAGGATAAACTTTTTAGGGACTTATATAAAGAAATCATAGTAATAAGGAACCCTAAAAAAGGTTTAGGAGTTGGGGTTTATGGATTTCAGGGTTTAGGGGTGTAGGATAGGTCTACAACGCTTCTCGTTTGCAAAATACAGAAACCTCACATGAAAACAGCTTGGGGCTGGTGCATCTCGGCTGTAGCAGAACCGACCCATAATATAGAAGCTTGAACACTTACCGATACTATGAGGGTTCCGTAGATGCTATATTCTTTACTATAATTGCACCCGAAAGGCGCAATGTGATGATTAAGGCCCCTCTAGACCTCGCCCCTAGACCCTTCGTCTGCTTTTACCAAACCCCGAGCGGTAGGTAGAGCCGCATGCCAAACTCAAAGTCGCCTAATCGAAGGATGCAAAGTACTTAACACTACGGGTCCATGTATCCAATTAGTATATACTTTGGCCCCGAAGTACCTATGCAGGAACTACTCTAAGGCCAAAGTATATGCTGTTTGGGCACATGGACCCTCAGGGTTACAAGTATATTTCAGGGCAACACTGGGGTTGGGATTTATATGCACTGTTGGTCTTGAGCGCGAAGGCATCTCTAGGACATTTTCAGGTGGGTAGTTACCGTTATAGGAGGCTTATAGAAGGTCTATATACCTTATAGAAGCCTGATAGAAGCCCTATATACCCTAAACTCCCCGCCTGTAGTTTCCTTTAAGCATCATCTGCTCATTGCTAGACAAGACCCTGCGCCTTCACTCTTGAGTCTGAACAGCCTTTTACGAAGAAATCAAAATCGATACGCCCTGAATCCAGAAATCGGGTTGACATTCCTTTCGAAATCATGGAGACGATGATAGTGGTGATTATATATACATATATATATATATGTATATATATACATATACATACTCAAGATCTTGTGAGTTTATTTGGGTCTCCTTCCCGGGATGGCAGGCAAAGAGTCCCGGCTTCAATGCCAATATTCTAGGCCTAAATCACAGAATGAACTAGTGTTTAGGGCTTAGGGTTGAGGGTTTAGGGTGTACCTGTAACCGAAAAGACCTACCTTTATAAGGAACTATATATAGAAACCATAATAAGGAACCCTAAACAGGTAGGTCTTTTCGAATATAGGTTTGGGGTTTAGGGCAATCTTGGCAGCCGCTTTGGCAGAGGCCATTTGGGCACGGGTGCGGGAGCGCATCCCGCCGCAGCTCCATCAACATCATGGAGGCACCCCATTTAGCTGGGGTTTAGGGTTTAGGGTTTAGGGTTTAGTCTACTTTCAGAAACTCCATTCCTCTAGCAAGCCAGCTTGATGAACAAGATTTCCCGATGACTCTAGGACTCTGGCCATGCATATCTCAGAACTCCTCCTCATGATGATGAAAAGTGATTGTAATACGGATATATAAGGCCACTTTATGGCATCCTGATTATCGGCTGTCACTGTATGGCATCCTGATTATCGGCTGTCATTGTATGGGGGGCAGTACCCTTGGCAAACTTGACTTTTGTGGATTTTCTTGGTTGATGTTTTGAGAGGGGGGGCAAAGTTCCTTCCAGCCTTGAGTACAGAAGGATCCTGTTCCGAATGGAGAGTTTTAGGGTTTAGGCTTGACCCATAGGCTCCTAAGTAGTTCCATTTTGTAGTTTATATTTGGAATCCTATAAGGTAATCCCAAACCTTCTCACCTTGATGTCCTTATATTGGCCCGCGTGTTACGCCTAACCGAGAGAAACGAAACCCTGAACCCTGGCCGAAATCAACAACAAATGCCTTGAAGATTTGTCGTCCCTCACCACAACCCCAACTACGCCCACAAGGCCCATAAGATTCTGTCCCCTTCGCTAGAGCATGAACGCGTACCTTCGCTAAACTGTGAACCCGTAACCCCGCAAACCTTTTCCAGGACGCGGTATCGAAAATGTCAAACATCGACGTCAATGACGTCTTTGCAAAACGCATGGCCCAGGCCTTTCAGCGTAGTTTGTCCAACATCCGGCTCGAATCTCGAGCTTTCCACTTCAGGATATGTTCACTGCAGATTCTGGGGTATGGTTTAGGATTTGGCGGGTTTTTTTAAAGATTCACCTTAAACCCTAAACCCAAAAACCCCAAAACCCTAACACCCTAAAGCCCTAAACCCTAAACCCCGAAACCTAAAGGTTGAGCCGGTTTAGGGGATAGTCTTCGAGCCTAGAGACGGGACCCCCTCCGCGCCCCCCCCCCCCAACCAAATCGCCAGCCTCAAGCCTTGTGCCACGGTTTAGGGGTTTAGGGTATTAGGGTTGAGGGGTTCAGGGTTTAGGGGTTTCGGGTTTTGGGGTCTAGGGGTTTAGGGTTTAGGATTTAGGGTGAGGCCACTTGCCATGTCGGCGACACTTCCTCAGTCCACAACACCCGGCTGCCCGAGGTGTAGATTTCAGTTTGCACTCAGAATGTTAGCGGTTTTGATGTGTAACCTTAAACCCTAAACCCCTAAACCCTAAACCCCTAAACCCTAAACCCTAAACCCTAAAACCCTAAAACCCTAAAGCCCTAAACCCTAAACCCTATGAGATGTTTCGACATAGCTCCCTAAATCCGATGCTCGAGTGCCAACGAGCGGCTCAGCGGGGCCACGGCGGGCGCAGCAGGACCCTTTGCTGGCCGCTTTGACAAGGCTCACCGAGGAGACGGTTCTTTTGCGGAAACACTCACGCACTCCGGTTCCGTGCTTCATCGTGCTCGGGATGCTCGAGGCCGCTTCGAAAGCACTGCAACTCGAGGCACTCCAGCTGGATTGGGAGGAGCGCCTTGCACGCCAGCTGGAATGGGAGGAGCGCCCAGCACGCCAGCTGGATTGGGAGCACGCCCAATGATGTGCTCAAGAGCTTCACGGTGCCGATGGATACCCCAACCCATCGGCACATAGCCAAGGCCTTATACGACTGGTGCCAGCACTACCAGACTTTGTACGGCAGCGCTCCGAACGACCTCGAGACCCACATGGGAACACCTTTCACAGTTCGTCAACGCCCTCGTCTTGTTGCGGCTCAGCCACTCAGGGCAATGCATAACATCGAGGCCTACCTGGCAGACCGAGACAGGCGTTTCATTTAGTAGCAGCCGTAGTAAGTAGTAGTAGTAGTAGTAGTAGTAGTAGTAGTAGCAGTAGTAGTAGCAGTAATAGCCGTAGTAGCAGTAGTAGTAGTAGTAGTAGTAGTAGTAGTAGTAGTAGTGGTAGTAGTAGTATTAGCAGCAGCAGTAGTAGTAGTAGTAGCAGTAGTAGTAGAAGTAGAAGGAAAAGTAGCAGCAGCACGAGTAGTAGTAGTAGTCCATTGGTGGTAGTCGAGTCGTGGTAGCTGTATTCCTTCTTCTTCTTGTCGGCATAGAACTTGGTGACATGGCAATGTAAATCTCGGATAGGGAGGAAACCATACATTTTCAGCTGTAGCGGATGCTGTTCAATGTTCGAAGTTCCCCCTGACGGTCTGACTTTGCCAGGGCAGTGAACTCTGCCATCGCGCAGGCCCAAGAAGCCTTTCGAAGGGTGTTTCATAAACCGTGCCAGAAGCTGGGGCGGGTTTCTGCCGGTATAGTCGGTATAGTATAGTACAGTAAAATATAATATAGAGTAGTGTAGTCTAGTCTAGCATAAAAACGTATAATCTGGTATAGTACAGACTGGCGTAGTCTCGCTCTGAGGTCCAGCTCCATCGTTCGAGGAGCTCGAGACCGGCGGGCGAGGCAGCTCCCAAACTCCAAACCGCTCGATCCCGAAAGATACCGAACATTATATGTTATATCATATCTTAGTTCTGTACAGTATAGTATGGCATAGTCTAGTCTCATAGTACAGTATATTATATAGCACTGTACTATCCGAAAAGCTGAACGCCCTATTTCAGGCATTGATCACGTTTGCTGATCTGCAGGGGTTAATCTCGACTTCGTACTCTCGGATGTGTTGACAGTTCATGCATTGTGCATTGATCTCTGCTCTTTAGATTTTGTTAGGTATCGGTCAACACACTCGCGACGCGAAGGTGACGTCCAACGATGTGCAGAAGCGACCGGCAACGAAGGTCTGGAGATGCGCGTTGTGGGCGGTTTGTGCATACCTGGCTTGATGGGCAGACCGCCAGGATGTCACGCGCCAGACGCCTCGACCGACGTTTTCTCGAATGAAGACCTGGGCTGCTAGCTAGTCCCATGCGGCGTTTGTACTTGCGGTTGCACCTATATAGATTTTGCGTAGCGCGTTCCTGCACGGACTACTTTGTTTACACATCCCCGCCAACCAAACCAGTGAGAGCTTGGCCTGCAAGATGCAGGCTGCTCCACAGTGTCACCAATAGACTCAATAGACCACTAGAGGAAAGACAACCCGAGGAAAAGGCGTTCTCCACTTTAAGCGCGCCACGCGCAGTCTTGTGAGAATTTCCTGTTCACACAACGAGGTCCGTGTCAGTCAATGACTGCCGCAAACTCCGCGATCGGGCTTGAGCGCATCACATGCTGCCCGAGCTGAACAGCTGGCTCGAAGAGACGTGTGCGGGGTTGCCTTCGTGCGCCGTGTTTTTTCAGCTGGCCTCCGTCACTGGAGGAGGTTGATTGTTGAGTACAGCTAGCAGCGCTTTCCTCCCAAGCTTGAAGCATTTCCTTGTACGCATTCTTTTGCAGGCGACAGCGTCGTCATTACGGCCATCAGCACATGGCTTTGGAAGGCCGGACATGAACTAGGCCGTGCTTTCGCACCCGTGAAGCTTCCCACAACCGAGAGCATCGCATGCAGGAGTGATGGCATGTCTTCTGCACATCGCAGAATAAGAGAGTTCCCAGTCTTGATCAGGTTAATGGCACTTGTTGCATGAGTGCGGCGCATTGAATCTGCAAGTTCAGCCGACAGCCACAATCTTGAAGCCCATTCGATTTTTTTCATACTGACCCCGAAAAATCCTGATACTTTAGAAACCCCGAGAACCCCCTAGATACTGGTGTAAACCCTTTCGAGCCCATATACAACACCCTAACAAACTCTTGTTATTAAACACCTTGTACACACGTTAGAGCATCCTTACAAAAGGCCTTCTTGAATCCCTCCCAAACCCTAAACCCTAAACCTCTTTTTCATATGTGTTTAACTCCGACGGATTCGTGGGCAACTGGTTTTTCTGCATTTGCACGCGAAGTTTCGCAGCTGCTCACGAAAAAAGCAAACTGCCCACGAAAACAGCAGTTGCCCTCGAATACAACAGTTGCCCACTAATTTTCGTGGGTAACGTTTTTGCTTTTCGCGGGCAACTGTTTTTCATGGGCATTTGCGAATTCTTCGCGGACAATTGCTCCGTTTTCGTGGGCAGGTGCGAAAGCTGCCTGATCAATTGTTTTTTCTCGTGGGCGTTTAATTTTTCGCAACTGCGAAATCTTCGTGGGCTTCTGCAAAAGTTTCGTTCGTGGGCATTTGCCTTCTGGGGCCTAGAGTTTAGAGCTTGGGGCTCAGCTTTTTTACGCGGTCTAGAGTTTGAGAGATGAGGGTTTCCAAATGTTATGGGATTCTTGCGGGGTCGGATGATTTCCGAACCGACGCAGCGAGCTCGACTAGAGATTCCTCGAACTGGAGCTGCTGAACCCTAAACCCTAAGCCCTAAACCACACATCTTAAACCTTACATCTTAAACCCAAGGCCGTTACTTCAAAAGCAGAAAGAAACGAAATCCCCAGCGTTTGACAGGCCTGGGGCCTTGAGCCCGGTGCTGAGTCAGTGCGAGTTTGGGCGTTTGAGGGTTTGTTAGGGATTTGGAGGGGGGGGGATAGCATTTTCGAATGTGTTAGGGATTTGGGGAGGGTTTGATTGGGGGGGGGTTTAGCATTTTAGGTTTGTTAGGAATTTGGGGGGTTCAGTGTTTTAGTGTTTGCTAAGGGAATTGGGGGGGTTTAGTGCCTTAGGGGTCGTTAAGGTATTTGGTGGGGTGTAGCGTGTCTTACGGTTAGTTAGGGGTTTTGGGCCTGCGGTTTAAGGCTTTGGGTTTGGTCCTCTGTTGGGCTCCTGCACCTGGGCCGGGTTCTGCGCTCTTTGAAACCTGGCCTTGTGGGGCCTCACAGAAGCTGACACGGGGAGGGTGATGAAGGCACCTCGACGGGAGGGTCTTCTTGTTGACGCTGTGTGCCAGAACTCTCCCACACACTCTGCACTCCCCAATGCAGGTGTCAGGCCCAGCCTTTTGGCACGGATAGGTGCCGCAGTTTATGCTGCAGCCACATGCGGTCGGTCCTAGAACTTCAGCCGCCGCAGTAAGTTATCACGCTTTCCTCATCTTCCCCTTCATGCCAGAAAAGAAAAAAGCCATAAACCCTCTCCGAGTTTTGAGTGCAGGTCCTGGACTCGTGGTGGCGCGCCGGGTGCTTGCTCTGAGCAAGCGCCGTCCGGGGGCCCGGAGTTCGAAGGTTCTGCGCTCGGTCACGCAGTAGCTGTTGCTGTCTGTCTGTTTGCAAGATCGATCCGGCTTGTCACTGCCAGTCCCAATCCTGTGTTTGATCCTGTCCTCGTCATCCTCATCTCACCTGCTAGTTCAGGCTTCCTTAACTTACCCCCCCGGTCAATTACGAATCAACAGCAGCTACTCGTAAAAAAGAGGGAGAGAGCGCACTGGGCTCCAAAGATCAGAGTCCACGGTGAACGTCTAGATTAACAGTCATGTTTTTCATTCGATTCGCTGGTGATGGTCCTCCTTATCTGGTCCGTGTCCATGTCACGCAGTCACAACCCTACAATCAACGGAAGCCTCTGTCGGTTCGTCTGAAGGTCGGCGACGCCTCAAAACTGGTTCAGCGGTAGTTTCGACACATCGTCGATGTTCAAAGTGTCAGTTCGGCCATGATGTGCTGTCGGCGCCTGTAATAAGGCTCCTAGCCATTACGGTTTATCTTAGGCTCCCATGTCTTCATGTCGCATGACAAAGTTGAAAAAGGAGCGTGCGATTCGGGGCCTTCATCGGCCAGTTTCTGAAAAAAAACACTTGTGTGGCTTTCTGTTGCGGGTGGATTGGCAGTTTGGCCGGCTTCCTACTAAGCTCGTGCCGCCAGAAAGTTGAGTCCGAGGGAGCTTGCTACTTTGAGCAGCAGGAACTTTGCATCACGTGCCTGGAGGGGTCACTCTGCAGAGGCAGGCTGCAAGATGTATCTGGCGTTTGTCTGCCAGCGCGGCAGGTGACTGACTCCAAAACTTTCAAGTACCGATCAATGGTGGTAGTAGCAAGAAAATACGAACAAACATAAGAATAGTAATATAATATCCGTAGTTACAATGCAAGTAGGAGCAGCAGCAGCAGCAGCAGCAGCAGCAGCAGCAGTCGCAGTAGCAGTAGCCGTAGCCGTAGCCGTGGCCGTAGCAGTAGCCGTAGCAGTAGCAGTAGCAGTACCAGTAGCAGCAGTAGCAGCAGCAGTTAGCAGTGGCAGTAGTATTCAAAAAGGCAGTAAAGTAACAATAGCAACGCTAGGTATGCCCGGCACCGAGAGCTGAAGCCCAAGGTCTTCGTCCAGTTCTTCGGGCTTGAGTAGCAGCTCCTCTTGGCACAAGGAGGCCGAGGACCTCGGTGAGGAGACCTCGTGCACTGGCTGGTTTGCCGCGGTCCGTGCTGGTCAACCAGATGCTTCCCAGTATCTCCCAGTGAGTTTAAGGGTCTAGGGTTTTTGGGGTTCAGTTCTGCAGGATGAATTCGTGAGGCCTAACAGTTTGATGGGAGCGTTAAGTGCAACAGCCGTCCACAGGAGAAAGCTAACTCAAGACTTTGCCAGCCCTCGCCCCAGCTACCTTTGTCTTTCGAGCTTGGTCATTCCAGAATGAAAACAGCACTGCCTCGCTTGACTGCATTGCCGGATCGTGCTAGTTTTCTCTAGAATGAGGCTCATGGGAGACGCCGCAGCCTGAGACCGGGTGGTCTGTGTTCCACCTGATAGAAAGGTTTGAAAATCCTGCTTAGGGTCCGGGGTCTAGGTTTTACGCTTACCGCAGTTTAGGACGAGAGGTTTGTTCCTAATTGGCTGGCCAAGCATTTTTTGACTTTTATGGTGGATTCGGTATCTCTTTTGCAGAAGATACATCTACTTGGCAATCGTTTGGGAAATACCTATTGAGCAGGAAGGAATGTCGGAGTGAGCAAAAGCAGCTACAGCTCAAGGCGATAGTACGTGGTTACAGAAGCTGTAGAGATGAGCTGTGATAAGAACTAATTCACGAGAATACCATGGTGAGTTGTGGAGGTTATGATGAGTTGGTTAATTGCTAAGCATCTAGTGTACGCTGCCTCTCTCTGGACTGTTGCCTGCAAGGTTGGAAGATACAGATCGGCTGGAAGGAACAATCATCCCCTTGACAGCAATAACTCTTCCATAAGCCCTGAGCCCTAAGCCCTAGAACATGTCGAGTTTCATGTTTGCAAGACAGAAAAAAGAGGTTCAATAACACAAAATCCTAAATCATGGCTCTTTTCTTTCCAGCTTGAAGCCCCGCAGCATTGGAGGTGCGTGACAAGGATCTGGGGGAGATCTCCGCGCTCGAAGCCGCGCTTGGCCATGGCAGCGATGCCAACCTTGTCGTGGAAGCCTAAGTTTTTCACAGGGCTTCTGCGGCTTCTCTTCTGTGATGGCATGTCCCTTGGGGTCAGCTCCCAGCTGGCGCAGATGGGATTCGGGCTTTCAGAGGACATGAGGCACAGCGACACCAGCCCTTTGGAAGACCTTCAGCTACGTTGTGCGCACTAGCTATCAGAGGTAGCTTTCTTCTCGGGCCATAGGCTTCAGAGGCGTTCCAAAGATCGCTGCGTGAGTGTCTGAGACAATCGGGTGCAACCGAAAGAAAGAGATCGCCTCGCACCTTTTCAGTTTTGACTCTTCTAGGATTGCATAGAGCGGCAGCTTGATCGGACAGTGCCGAAGATGGGCATGTTTAGACGTTAATATAATATGATATAATATAATATAATATAATATAACATAGTATAGTATAATATTAATATTAATAGAATAGAATAGAATAGAATAGAATAGAATAGAATATAACATAATATAATACATTATTAATATAATATAATATAATATAATATAATATAATATAATATAATATCCTCGGACTTCGCTGGCTGAGGTTGAGGGTTCCAGCAGCTCCGTCTCGGGATGTGGCAGCTCGAACGCCAGCGCAAGTCCCGGCCAGATGGTGCACGTTTCAGGCACCGCTGCATCTGCCCTTGCTGCCTCAGGGGCAGCTGCCGAAGGGGCAGGGTTCCAGAGCTAGTGTGTGCGACATGAGCAGATAGGGTCGAAGGCCGAAGGGTTGCTCGAGCACTTCTTCGGCGCATCTTGTGGGCTCCCAGCTCCCACCTTGTGCTGTGGGAACCTTAGTTGGGCGGGTGATGCTTTTCTGAGCACTCCCGCTCCGATGCCTGGCACCTCGTCATGCAAGCAGCATCTCAGATCTAATCTGCCGAGGTGATAGTGATGTTCGGGTCTCGAGGAATTTTGTTGATGGGCGAAGGAACTTCTGGCCTGACTGTTTCTTTGAAGCCTCGGAAGCTAAACTGCGAGAGTTCTCAGCCCAGGTGCGTCTGCGTTGTCTGCTCACATCTCAGGCGTCCAGCTCGCATTGACTGTCTCTGCTGTTAACTCAGCACCGTTGCTAGGGGATTGGCTCGGGTTCGGTGGCATCACTCAGCCCGCATTACCAGAGAAGCGCTGGGAGGATGAGACGCTCCCCATGCGGCCTGTCGCGCAGTGCCTTTGCATTGGCGGTTGTCACAGGCCTGGACTTTTGTTTGCACCTTGCACTGTGAAGCCTCACGGAATTTACGGTACCGCTCCTTTCAGACGCACACTGGCTCCCTATTGACATAAGAGCACGTTGTGCGGGCCTTCAAGTCAGCCCGTGTGCAAGGTCTTCTGCATTTCGAAGCGGCTGCATACACCCCGCTTGTTTCACCAGGGTGGGCATCTCAGGCAGTGCAGTTATTAGTGTAACCTGGACCCTGAAAACCGGCTCCGAAATCCTGACAAGGACCGGAGTGCCACATTATCTTGGAGTGCCAGCGTCTGGAGCCGAGCGCACTGGCAGTGTTTGGAGCCTAAAAAAGAGCTGTGTCTAGCTGGGTCTCAGGGGGAAGCTTCTGCGAAAGCACCAGCCACCTCGTGTCCTGGTGCCATGCTTAAAGGACGTCGCTGGCTGCAAAGCCTCAGTTGTGTCGTGCTTCCGGACGCAAGCAGCTTGGGCGGTGCTAAGGATCACCGACAGAAACGCGCAGTTGCCATCGATGGCCATGCGAACCTAGTGGACGTGGGCAGGCCCGACAAAACATCGTCCCTCCGGGTCCGTCTCCGCATCATTCTGCGTTGCATATCAGTAATTTGGGCGGCAGGAGTTTCAACCTCGGTCGGCCAGAATCATTGGCCGCACAGGAGCCAGTGAAGTCCTCAGGGCAGCTCTCGGTTTCGGCTCTCTCCCACTGTGCTCCTCGCTCCGTTCTTGCCTCAGGAAGCCGAAGCGGCTGCGGCAGAAGCTCCCGCGGAAGAAGCTCCCGCGGAAGAGGGCGCGGAAGCAGCTTCTGGTGAGGGCGAGGCCGCAACGGAAACTGCGGCTGAGGAGGGTGCAGAAGCCTCTGCTGACGCCACGGAGGGTGCAGCGGCTGGAGGTTCAGAAGGTGCAAAGGACGATGCAGCAGAGGGCGCCGCGGAGGGTGCATCAGGAGCTGCAGCCGAGGGCGGGGCGAGTGAAGCTGCGACTGAGGCCACCGCCGAGGGCTCGGTTGCAGCAAGCGGAGAGGGTGCGACAGCTGGCGCCGCTGCAGCCCCTGCAGCGGCTGCTGCAGCCGGTGCCGTCGTGGAGGGCAGTGTCGCTGGCACAACCGGCGCAGCCACCACTGCAGCAGCAACCACAGTAGCAGCTGTAGCGGCTGCAGCAACAACAGCAGTTCCCACTACAGTGGCTTTGGCTGCAGGTAAGGCGCAGCACCACAAGGTCAAAGCTGTCGCTCCTGCCGCAAAGGGCACGGGTGCGGCAAAGGGCACAAAGGCAGCGGCCAGCAATGGTACACCAGGAGCCGGCTTGCCGTGGAAGGGCATCATTCTGGTGCCTCGATTGGTTCTCACTTCTGTAGAGATATTGATTGTAGTAACATTGTAGAATATTGATCTGTTTTAGTACATTATAGTATAGGATAGTATGTTGTAATATGTTGTGGTATATTACATCGATGATTGCCTGTTATCGTATATTACCGTATGATATTAGTGTATATTGTCGTATATGATCGTATGTTGGCGTATGTTATCGCATATGATCGTACATGACCGTATCTTACAGTGCATTATGGTATCTTATAGTATATCACGGTAGATCATAGTCCACTATGGTGTAGTATACTATATGATACTGAGACTTGAAACGGCACATCACGACTCCATAGAACCCATAACCCCTTAATTACGGAATATACCTTAAATCATAATATTAAGGCCCCTATATTTTAAGGTATACTCCTTAATTAAGGGGTATTAGGCATATGAGTCCGTAGCCGAGGTGCTTTCCATCGTCGCTCTGGTCGTCTTCCTCGGACCGAAGCTCTATGAGGCGTGGCAACTTCCCCACCACCCCTTATAGTTACAGTTATAGTTATAGCTATAGTTATGGTTACAGGTATAGTTACAGTTATAGTTATGGTTATGGTTATAGTGTAGTAATTTGCTTCGAGGTTCAGTTTGGAGTTCCCGAAGCATCCTCCGCAGTTCCGGAAGATCTCTCCCATCATGTTGAAGGCAACTAGGATCAACCCCATACCTTCAAGCTCTGTGCCGGCATCTTGCAATAATTTCTCTGTGTGACGAAATCCTTGAAAATGACACAAGACAGGTCGCAGCACCTTTGTCAACTCTTCGGAAGCAGTCTGATGCTGTGCTTGGAGCTCTCTTTCGACGCAATTCTCGGCAGAGTTTAGGCTACAAGAATTCTTGAAGCGATATCGGAGTTAGCATTGTCCGCATAAGATGTTCTGAGCGGCCGAACTTTCGGAAATTCGGAAGCCCATACTCGTGTTTGGCTATCTGTGCTCGTGTTTAATTATTGCAAAGGGGCAAAGGTGTGAAAATCATGCGCTGTTTACTATGCAAAGATGCACAGAACAGTAATCTTTGTTTGCGTAAATAAAGCGTGCGTACCTTGCGTTTTGTGATTTAGTGAAACAAAAAAGTAGGCTCCCTTTCCCTTCTGCCCAGTTTCCTTTGTCTCTCTATTTTAGTGAGTGGAAACAAGGAAGGTGTCTTTCACATGATGAAAGGAAGCCACAGGAAACCAAGGCAAAGGTCACGGAGAGTAAGGCCATGAAGCGAGCTTTCCGTTTATTTTACGTTCGCTGCAGATGGCCACAGCGAAGCCGCCCCTTCCCGGCCGCCTCAACGAGATCAAGAGCGAGCCATCGGATCAGCAGGCCTTTTTGCTGGGAGATGCCGGAGATCTGAAGCCGTAACTAAGCAAAATCGATGAAGGTCCTGGGCATAGCCATCGGTAAAAAAAGAGCAGTGGTACGTGTCATGGTCGTCAGAAGCGAACAGCTGCTACATCAGGACTGCTTAGGGGCTTCTCAGCACCCGTGGTTTCTCATTGACGTCATGTTGCGAGGTCTGGGCTTCCTCGAAAGCTCGCCAAACCTACAGGAGCTGCCCCTTGAGGGTTCTGCTGCCAATTCGGTCGTGTGCGGAAGAGCGAAGGGGGACATTTCTGGCTCCATGATGATCGCCGTGCAGTTTCGAGCGGTAAGAGCTAGAACGGTCGCGCTTTGCAGGAAATCCGTGCTTGCTGCCCAGTCCAACAAGAGCAGCAGTGACAGTGAGGCCATGAGATTTTGTGCACTCGGCTTAAAAGCTCATAAACATAGATTTGTGAAATCGCTTCTGAAACGTCTTGTGTGCTAGTCTTCTTCGTGAGGGCAGAAACGGACCATCTTCGACATGTTTTCGACTGTTCTTCTTCAACGTCAGGGATGGTTCTGTTGACTGTGTTTCTCTCAAGCTCTGCTGGCACAGGATGCCGCTGCAAAGCCAGCTCCGCAACGGCCTCGGGCAACCACTGCAGTTGGACCAAGTGCACAATTATCCAGGGTTCCTGGCAGCTGCGCAACTAGATCTCAACCGACCGGAGAAGACGCGCGGAAGCCAATCCCAGCAGATTTGGACTGTTCTGCTCGCTTCGACAGGGACTTGAGACCTGAAGATTCCTTAAACGCAAGTCCCAGAGGCTCGGGGGCCCTGACTCCCTGACCCCCAAACATCCCTGTGAAGACCCAGGCGTGGAAGCGCTGCCAGTGCTGGCAGCCGCGAGGCCGCAAAGGCCCCAGCAGCCGCTGCGGTAAAGGAGAAAGAGGCCAAGGAGGGCAATGGCAAGGAAGCCAAGGCTGGCCAGGGTTCACAAAGGGGGTTGAAAAGGGCCGAAGAGTCGGTCTCGAAAAAAGTTGAGGATTTCGGGGGCCACGGCCGGTTTCCAAATTTGGCTGGTCAGGGGCTTGAGTCTTGGGTCGAAGATGGTTGAAGACAGGTTGATCGTGGCTGGTTGGCTTCTTTGACGACTCATGTGCGCATGTTTTGGGAGGAAGACTTTTGCCGCTGGAGGGAGTCGGGCATGGGAAGCCATTAGCATGTTGGAATTGTCCAGCCCAAATGTCTGGCACCCCCATGCATGTGTGAGGGTGCAGCAAGTAGTTGTCATATGATATGAACATTATGGCACACGTGACCTGAAGTTGTTCACACTAGCAACGTGGAGTGATGGGGCAACGATGATAACGATGATGATAATGATGGTGGTGGTGGTGGTAGTGGCAGGGGCGGCGGTTGGTCTTGGTGATGTGGTGGTGGAAATGACAGACGCTGATGGTGACAGTATTGAAGATGAGGGCGCTGATGATGACGACGAGGATGGTGATGATGGTGGTTGCCACCAGCTTGTCCTGGCTACCTGCCCAATTCAACTGCTGCGCTCTCTGTGCTTGCTGAACTCCAGGACGTCGGTGGCACTGCATCCCGGGAAGAGGCGACCCGAAGTGAAATAATGAAGGGCTGGGTTTTTTTGGTACCCGTAGAGTTTTTTTGGTATTGTCGGAAAGGCTCTTTCTCTCCTCTGATTAGGCCCGGCGCTCAACAGACAGCTTCTCGAGCATGCATGGACAATAGCTTATTGGTATCTCCACCAATGTGGACATGGTCTTAAAAAGACCTTCTCACCCGCGCACGGGTCTTTCTTCTACCCCACGTATCCATGACCAAAAAAGCCTTCCCCTCAGCAGACAGGGCTTTCAGTGGCGCCCGGATCGAGATTCCTCGGGCTCGAGATGTTGAGATAAAAGCCGTCCTAAGCCAGCGACAGGTCTTTTAAAAGGTCGTCTTGTGTACCCCTTGCCACCTAGGGGCTCCAAATGGTTCCTGAGTCAAAAGGAATGAAGCCCCAAGGAAGGAAGAAAACACCTTGACGGCCACCCAAAAGTTCTTTTACTTTTTGACCGGGCTTCATCCAGACGTGCTGCTATCGCCCCGAACTCGCAGTCTTCGATCACTGTCACGGGTTTCCACCCTTGGCGGGCTCCCTGCCCTTTGCGGGCTCCCCGCCCATCACGGGCTTCCTGCCCTTCGTGGGCTCCCTGCCCATTCCGGGCTTCCGGCCCGTCGCGGGCCCCTTGCCCTTCGTACGCTTCAAGCCATTCGTGGGCTCGCTGCCTTTGGCTGGCCTGCTCTCTATTTTTTTTGAGCGGTTTGCTCATTGTTTTCAAATTTTCTAGTCTCTTTCGAAACTATCTAGTCACTCTTCGGTTTGCTCCTTGTTCTGACATTCTTTGTTCTCCTTCGAACGGCTTGCTCCGTGTTCCCAAATTCTTTAGTACCTTTCGAGCAATTTGCTCCTAGTTCTCAAATTCTCTAGTGTCTTTCGAGTGGTTTGCTTGTTGTTCTCAAAGTCTCTAGACTTTTTCGAGCGGTTTGCTCCTGGTTCTCAAATTCCCCAGCGCCTTTCGAGCGGGTTGCTTCTTTGTTTCAATATCTCTAGTCTCTTCCAAGCGGTTTGCTCCTCTTTCTGTGACTTTCGTGCGGTTTGCTCCTTTATATCAACATCTCTATTCTCGTTAACCGCTCCTTGTTTTCGAAATTTTTAAGTTCCTTTGGAGCGGTTTGTTCCTTGCTCTCAAATTTTCTAGTCTCTTTCGCTTGGCTTGTTCCTTGTTCTCAAATTCTCCACTCGCTTCGGAGCGGTTTGCTCCTTGCGATAATCTTTTTCGAATGGTTTGCATTTTTCTCAAATTCTCTAGTCTCTTTCACCTGGTTTGGTTCTTGTTCTGAAACTCTCTAGTCGTTTTCGAGCGGTTTGCTCTTTTTGCTCACATGGTCCAATCTCTGAGGAGCGGTTTGCTCCTTTTTCTCAAATTCTCGAGTATCTTTCGAGCGGTTTGCGCTTTGTGTTCTTAAATTGTTTAGTCTTGTTTGAGCGGTCTGTTTTTTGTCAAATTCCCAATCTCTGTCGCTTGGTTTGCTCTTTGCTCTGAAATTCCCTAGTCTCTTTCGAGCGGTTTGCTCCGTCTCCTCAAATTCTCTAGTCTTTTGTGAGCGGTTTGCTCACTGTTCTCAAACTCTATGGTTTTTTTCGAGCGGTTAGCTCCTTGTTACAAAATATCCGGACTCTTTCGAGCGGCTTGCTCCCGTGTTCTCAATTTCTCCACTCCCTTTCGAGCGGCTTGCTCCTAGTTCTCAAAGTCTATGGTATCATTCGAGCGATTTGCTTCTTTTTCTCAAATTCGTTAGTCTTTTTCGAGCGGTTTGTTATATCAAATGATCCAGTCGCTTTCGAGCGGCTTGCTCCTGGTTCTCAAATTCCTTAGTCTCTTTCGAGCGGTTTGCTCCTTGTTCTCAAAGTCTCTCCTCTCATGCGGGCGGTTTGCTCCTTGTGTTCTCAAATTGTCTAGTTTTCGAGCGCTTTGCTGAGTTTTCTCTTTATTCTGGTCTTGTTCGAGTGGTTTGCTCCTGGTTATCAGGCCCTCTCGTCTCTTTCGAGCGGTTAGCTCCTGGTTCACAATTTTTTGTCTCTTTCGCACGGTTTGCTCCTCTTTTTGGCGATTCGCTTCTTTTGCTTAACTTTTCTAATGTTTTTTTCGAGCAGTTTGCTCAGATTCGCTAGTCTCCTTCGAGCGCTTTGCCTCTTGCTTTCTCAAGTTTTCTAGTCTTTTTCGGGCGGTTTGGTCATTTCATCTAATTCTCTCGTCTCTTGCGCTTGGTTTGCTCTTTGTTCTTAAATTCTCTAGTTTCCCTCAGGCAGTTTGCTCCTATTTCTCTGCTGGGCCTTGTGCTCTTGTGACACACCGTCTCTTTGTCTCTCTGTCCCTTTATTATTTTGTTCCTTCGGCCTTAGACCCCCAAACCCGGGGCGCGAAAAAAAAACTTGTACGGCCGGTTAGGTATTTTTTTCCTGCTTAACGATTCTTTTGTTCCTTTGGCTTTCGACCCTCGGACCCAAGGCGTGAAACAACCCCGTATGGCCGGTTAGGTATTTTTTTGCCCCCTTACAGATTCTTTTGTTCCTTCTGCCCTCAACTCTAGACTTTAGACCCCCAAAGCCTGAGGATCTAAACAGGGCGCAAAAAAAGATCCCCAGCGGAAAATTGAGCATGAGGAGCCTTTGCGGGGTGTGAAAAAGCCTTTCACAAAAATGGATCACATCCACGTGTCATTGATAGGATCGCTGGTATGATGGTAAGAAGTTCGCTGCCAGTATCAGTCTTGAGGCCGCGCCCCACCGATGGCAGGCAATTCGTGAGACCCAAAGCCCAAACTTCACAAAACTACGCCTCCACTCCTCTACGCTCCATGCTCCGAACCCTGAGCTCTCAACAGACCTTCTGCTGCACGACGCCCTGAACCCTAAATGCTGAGTTCAGCTTTGCACCCAGTAGATCGAGATCGATCGAGATTCGGCCCACAAGGGCTTCCGTCGACGGAGAAGAATCGGGGGCAACATGCAGAAGCCTTCAGGGCAAAGAGCATCCTAGGAGAACAACCCTCCATGCTCTAGGAGCCTATGAGACCCGTTGCATTCCTTCAACCATATACTATAATTTACTATAGTACGTTATCATTTATCATCTACTATAATGTACAATAATATACCAAAATATACAATAATATACGAAAATAAGCTAGAATCAACTATAATTTACAGATGCAATAAGATACTATAATACACTATAATCGACGATAATTTACGATAAATATACTACACTGAACACTAATAAACTATTCTTTAAGACACTATAAAATGCTTTGAGACTGAGAAGGCCCCGAGGGCTTCCACCAGCAGCCGCCAGCGCTCTCCATCGGCTTCCTCGGGCTCGTCCCTCGAGCCAAGTATGGCTCAGGGCACGACCTCTTTTGTTAAGGCTTCCTTGTTTGAGAAGGTCTCGTGGTGGTGGCGTGTATATATAGAAATTTCTGTGCTTCTGCATGGGTTTTGTACAGGTTTTTGTTACTTTCTACCGTAGACGATTATGCCCTTTAGTCACGCGAGAGTTCAGCGCGAGTTAGCACACGAAATTGAGCTGAAGCGCAGTCACTGATAGTTACTGGCATATTCATGCAGGTTCTTGAGTTGCCATTGTGTCTTAAGGTACTTGTTTCTTTATTCAGGGTTTAGGGTGGTCTCAGGCGGTTTATTCAGGGCTTGGAGTTGTGAATTGGTTTAGGGTAGTACTCAGGGCTTTGGGGTTGCAAGGGTGTTAAATCGGTTTGTCTCGAGTCTTTGGATCGTCTGAGGGGCAGAGTAGGCCGGCACTCACATCCGGCATGCGTGCTCTATTTTGTGGACCTCGTCGGCAAAGACTGTCTAGCGGCCCCATGCTGTGGAACCAGCCGAGGTATCGTGCACGGCGAACAGCTGCCAACAAATCCTCCGGGAACTGAGTGGTGCGGTCGTCTCAGTTTGTGACATTGGCCAATAATTACTCGGGTTCAATACGCTCAACATACATTTGCTTAAATGAGAGAACAAGCTCCTTCCTGCTGAGACTCTTGCATCTCCGAATTGGTTCGGAGATCTCCATGAAGCGTTCGCGACCTGCTCGTGCGAAAGGGACCAAAATGCAAAAGGCAGTTGTGCTGTACGGTGCACGACAGGGCACGCAACGGTTCTAAGTTCTAGAGGCACACATCCCAATTTGCCAAAGCCGGCGAAACTCAAAGAACTCCATCGGCTGTCATGTGACGATTTTTCCCGGTTTCTGGTCAGGGCCGGGACTTCGATGCAGAAACACGGAGGATTCTCCATATCGATGCCTGATGGAGGTCGGGCAGAGCTCCGAGCACTATGCCCTAAACCCAGTTGGGTGGCGTCGTCTCGAAGCCGCGCAGGTCGAGCAGAGACACCTTGCTGCAGCGAGGACAGCAGACCGAAAGCTCGGCAGAAGTGTGAGTTTCAGTCGGCCTGATGTAATAATTACAACAGTTACACTGATGATCATGATCATAACAAAGAGATCTCTGGAGTTGAAGCATGTGCTGGGAAGGAAGGATCCAGCAACCGGGCTGCCGGTTGCCTCCTGAGCTTTCACGAGTTGCCGTAAGCCTGGAGCCTGAACCCTGGAACCATGGAAAGCAAGGGCAAAGCTCAGTGCTAAGCATGTGGGGCTTCCTGATGGCAATCCCAGCTGAGATTTGCGGCACCTGTGCCCGTTTGGGGCACCCGCTCTGCGGCCTCAGGCCAAACTGCTTAGCTCTGCTGCTTGCATCTCCGTTTCAGAGCTATCCAAGTGGTGTAATCACACCCCCAGGCCCTAGGCATACCCCTTGTCTGTTTACAACTCTGAATACACCTGTCCTCCGGAACGACGCTGCGTTCACAGCCACGTGAAGAGACAAACGTACAAACTCAGACCCTTTGTGGTATTCTGCTTGCACCGGACAGATCATCGAATCTGGGGTTTGTACACCTCGAAGCGAGAAAGTGCGAAGCTACTGGTATCCGGCGAGGTACTGGATCACGCTGCGAGCAGCCTGGCTCAGGCCGGCAGACGTAGGCCGGCAAAGAAAACACAGCGGCCTGAAACTCTGCGAGGTTGCCTGAGGAGCTCGTGGCGGAAGAGCCTCACAGTTTCGAGGCCCATTGCATCCGTTGAGCTAGGAGAAAGGTGCAGATGACCAATGTGCCGAAGGATCCTGGCTCCGTGCAGATCGCCAGGCAAGCACAGATAGGCCGGCCGGGCAGAGCCACTCTTCGATCCTGGGATCATCGGATTTGCATGAGGCTTCGTGCGGGAGATCAGTGAGGGCGAGGCAGAAGATCTTGAGGTCCGCTGTTCCGACGCGAAAGTCAGATTCTGACACGAAGACTCAGGTGCACAGGCGTGGTGGCGAAAGTTTTGTAGTCGACATCTGCGGAGTCCCAAATGGCGCACATGCATCAACCAGAAAGAACAAAATCCACTGCCTGTTCGGCACAACTGAGACGAGATTCCTGTTCCATGCAGGACTGCCTGGATGCCATTCAAAGGCCGTTCCCGCTGCTGCGGAGGCCTATTCCTTTATCGCAGGCCGGTACTTGCAGAAAGAGGAGCTTTCTTGTTGTGGGTGGGGCGAGAGCAATTAAGACAAGCATGTGGCTGCAAGATGCCTTGTCCTATCCCTGAACGGCTGCAACACTGCACGCCATCGTTTGTTTGCTGTTGCGAGGTGAGTAGAAGGAAGGAAACTGAAGTCACTGATGCACGAGCGGTCAATCGCAACAACGCAGTAGCAGCAGCGCCAGAAGAAGAAGAAGAAGGAGAAGAAGAATAAGAAGAAGCAGCTTAACAATAACACATAATGACTCTAAATTCAGAAGAAGACGAGCAATACAAATGAGTAATGATGACAGTAACAGTGGTAGTTTAGTCATCGCCGTGATATTTTCAGTGATTGTCAGAACAGTAATCAGGCGACGGCAGTAGTGGCACTAGCACTAACACTAACAATGTTTGTCATGTCAAACGCAACAATAGCATAATAGTACTAGCAACAAGCGTGCTGATCATAGCGATACAAAGCAGCAATACTTAACAGCAATGGTAGTAATGATGATCATGACAGTAACGGCAAGCATGATAATGCTGATCATGCTGATAGTAGAAACGATGGTACAAGTTACAACGAAAATAATGATCATATCGGTAATAATGACAACATGATAGTACAATCATCATCGGACCGTAATGGCAATACTGACAACACTGATAGCAATGCCTTATTGATAGGCATGATAGCAGTCATTTTACGACAATACCGATAATGCTGGTGTCACGATACTATTAATAGTACTGAGAATGCTGATCTGGCAGTGACCATGATGTTCATAACCATAACAATCATAGCAATGATAATAATGGTGATACTCACAACAGCGAACAGTGGTGATGGTGGTGGCAACAGTGATAGTAGTGGCAACGATGGTACGCAGGAGTAGTAAGAATAGCAAGTTTAGCATGAATAGCAAGATGAGAAAGCCTTGTCTAGTCATAATAGCACTAGTACTAGTGAGAGCGACTGATAATGATAGTATTAGTACTCTATACGGAGTTCTTGCTGCTCCACCTCTGACTCCCACTATTCCTATCCTACTCCTACAACGACTACTCCTACTACTGCCACTGCCTCTGCCACTGCCTCTGCTACTGCCTCTGCTACTGCCACTGCTACTGCCACTGCTGTTGCTGCTACTAGTACGACTACTCCTCCTCCTCCTACTACTGCTGCTACTACTACTACTACTACTACGACGACTACTACTACTGCGACTTCGACAGCTACTGCTGCTGCTACTGCTATGCTACGGCTACTGCTCCCGCTACTGCTCCCGCTACTGCTCCCGCTACTGCTGCTACTGCTACTACTACGACGATGACGACGGCGACGACGACGACGACTACTACTACTGCTACTGCTACTGCTTACCACCACCACCACCACCACCACCACTACTACTACTGCTACTGCTACTGCTACTGCTACTGCTACTGCTACTGCTACTGCTATTACTACTACTACTACTACTACTACTATTCTACTACTTCTACTTCTACTTCTACTTCTACTTCTACTACTGCTGCTGCTACTACTACTACTACTAGTACTAGTACTCGTACTAGTACTAGTACTAGTACTAGTCCGAGTATTAGTATAAGTACGACGACGACGACTACTGCTACTGCTACTTATACTACGACGACGACCAGAGTTTAGAATGATACGAGGAACAAAACTGGTAATAGCATAAGTAGCATTAACAACAGTAAGGGTAATAATGATGACAATTGCTGCTTCTGATGCTGCTGCGACTGCTGTTGTTGCTAATTGTGATATTGTCTCTTATCGCAGAAGACACGCCATGACCTCTGCGATAGTGATCACCGCTATCTGTAGCACCGTACTCACCATCGTCATCGTCATCATCGTAAGGAGTAAAGGCATGTCATGTTTTTCCACGACTGTACCTGCGATAACAACAACAATTTTCGCCCTGGCCAGGTTCAAAAGTACTCAAAAACAAACAATACAATGAGAAGATTATCACAAGAACCGATGGCTGTCATAATGCGGAACCCTTGAAGCCACCATTGTAGTAGTCCTGTTCAAGACCAAGCCGAAAAGTATACAAGTATTGCAGGAAAAGTCATCGTGCACTGTCGACGATGGTCACGGTGATGGCTTTTATTGTGATGGTGATGATGACAGCTGTCTACAGACACGTTTGTGAATGTGTGTACTCTGAAGGGACTCGAAACTTCTGCTTGAATACTCGCCCCTGTGAAAAGGCATGCACGTTCTTAAGCCTACGTGCTGCAGCTTAACTGCTCTCTGGATCATGCCGGCTTCGTGGACTTTACGAAGGCTTTTTCCGAGAACCAAAATCGACAATCAACCCGCCGGAGGCTGTCCAGTATGCGGAGGCGTTGTGGGACCCGAACCCAGTCGCGAGATGTTTGAATGTCTTTACTGGTGCTAACGTGCTTGTAATAATGGCAGCAATATCGACAACTGTTCTTCTGGCAGCTGTTGCGGTTGATGGTGGTGCTGGTGGTGCAAGTGCTGTCTGGTCACTGTTGTGGTGGTGGTTCTTGTGCTGCTCCTGCTGCTATTCGTAGTTGCCGCTGCTGTTGCTGCCGCAGAGGCGTGGGTCGGCAACTGCAGCTGCACTTGCGGTTGCTGTTCCTGCTGACTGGTCGCTGTCGTGCAAATTTCTCTGATCTTCCGAACCTGCTTCGCCCTTGTCATTCCGCACCTGGTCATCGCAAGGAAGACTGACCGCGTGGGCAGCAAAGAGTTGCACCGGAAAGCGTTCGTCTTACGATTTCAGCTGCGTGAGCCGGCGATTAACGCAGAAAGCCCGCACCGGCTTGTCCGGGCTGCCCCTTTGAAATGCGCCAGGGCCAAACCAACTACACACGAGTCGTGCCAAGAGCAGTCTCCTCAGCTCGCGCAGCTGTCAGCCAATTCGAGCACAGCATGTGTTCAGTGTGGCAAGCTTTCACTGCAGACTATACATAACTCTGGCTGCATTGCTGTCTAGTCCCTGAGACAGGGAGTACTTTACTCGTTTCCTTCTGCATGTAGGGAAAGCCATGGTTAGACAACCAGCCTTTCGAAAACGACACTCAGAGTATGGAGTAAAACTGAGCAGGACAAAGCCGCTAGAGTTTTTTGCACGGCTCAGCAAAGTCTGACTTGCAGCTCTACATGGATCAGAGCAGCCTCGCGCTCGCTGGCTCGGGGGAAGCGGTGGTCATGGTCTCAACGGGCTTTGTAGAACGAGTTGGTGACACATAGTCATGGTCGGCGGCATAGGACTTGACTTCAGTGGCATGGGAATCCATGCGGAGGCGGATGCGAGCAGGTCAGCAGCAGTGCCAATGGTAGAGAGGTCTAAGGCCTCAGAAGTGGAGGGGGGCTGCGCAGGGCCCCGCCTCTGCCGCGCTCTGCCACAATAGTTCGCAATAGTGCACAGTGGTTGACATCCTTCACCACGCATCTAGCCAGAGTGTTTGAAGACTTCGCACGGAGGAGGCGGCTCGTTGTTTCAACCAGGAATCTGCAGGTGCCGGGCGCTCCCTTGCTTAGTTGGCACAACATCCCAACACACAAATCTCTCGACATCTCTTGTCTTCATGTTTTTGCGAGTCCATGAGTCTTCCTGCTAGCTGCGCTCACTGATAGAAGTATCGCAGCTTCTGCGGGTTCTGATTGTGCCGACTGAATGCGTTCTGAAGTGGGACCTGCTTGCAGACATCAGAGCTAGAGGGACCTCAATCGGAGGCCCGGGCAAAGCAAGGACTGGACTCTGTAGATCTCTGTACTGTCTGAGGCTTCTCGCCTTGGGGTCCCAACACTCACCCTCCAACTGCCAGCCTTCCAATCAGATGTACCGATCAGCCTAGCTCGACTTCGACAGAACCACTGAAAGCATGACTTTGGTGGGCGGTGTGAGAGGAGAGCACAGCCATCTGAGCTGCCTTTTAGTCTCGTGTGCGCCCTTTTTTCAAGTCTGCAGACACGCCGAAGCACCTGCGTCATCCGACAGGTGCCAGGATCCGAGTATGGCTTGCAGATACTACAACCATCTCTGTAACCATTCGTGAGTTTCGTTTGTGTGGTTTTGCCTGCAAGCTGCTTGAAGCAAAGACCCTTGTTCGCCTTGCAAAACTCTTGCAGCGTGCATTTGCACATGTATGCAGGCCGACCAGGCAAGCTCAGAGATCGCATGCAGTGGTTGTGCGCATGCCCTGCAGCCGTCAAAGCTTCGCACCCCTTCCGGTGCTGGAAACCGGAAACATGGAAGCTCCAGTCGGCCCCACGTGTGAGAAGCAGCTGCGAGGTGATATTGAAGCCCGAAACGATGAGACAGGACACTGAGAACTCGAGTTTTCAGTTTTGAACACCTTTACTCTTTGCCCTAAACAGCTCTAGCCCTAAACCTGTTGAATCCTCGACCCTGAAGCATCCGCTGCAGCGGCCCAAAGCATGGCGGCTCGTGAAGCTCGGCGGCAGGAGTTCTGGTCTGGGTGCTTCAGGGCGCAGGGCTTGGGATCGGTAGAGAAACAACACGACCTATCCTGGTCTTGGTGCGACATGAACAGCTAGGACGAGCCCCGTGACCCAAGTACTCATGCTCTCTTGGAGCCTGTTGTCTTCCGTGGGATGTTTCGGTTGGGATCTTGCAGGCGATGCCCCTTGTGCTGGCCTTTCCAGGCCGGGGATGTCGTGTTGTCCGAAGCTCCAGCTCGTATGACTCGGCTGCCCACCTGCAGGCGTGGCCTCCAGGGTAAACGTGAGCCTTGCGCCTCGCCGCCTACAGGACCGGTTGGCTCGCCTGCTGCCTGCGTTTCTGCGCTGTCCGTGACCTGGAAGGATACCTACACCTTCTTGACATCGCAGCTGAACTGCCAGATGTGCTGCGAGGCACTCGCTGACTTCGTGACTCGTGCTTTGGAAGACTGCACCTCGTGCGCAGGAGGAGTGGCGGTCGTGCCTTTGCATGCTGAGTTGCGACATTTTCCAGGCGTCCCAGAGCGGATGCGGTATTTCCAGATTCCATGACCTGTCGCCGCATCCTCCAAGAGCCTCCAACCTCTCGGCTCTTTCTCTGCCCTGCCCTTGTGCACAACCGCTTCGAGAGAGCTTTGCAAGACTTAGAGACGAGCCAGCGCTTGGAGAGAAGCTCGGTCAAGGAGCATTCTCCGCGTCATGCTTTTCTTTCGAACAGCTTGTTGGAGCCCATGCTATGTGAAATTGCGTGCAGGGCGAATGCGATGGTGTTGAGGAAGTGGAGACGTGCAACGTGGTGCGTGCGTGCTACAGGAGGCCGGAGGGAGAGTTTGCAGGAGCTTCATATCACCGGAGCTTTGGCTCTTTGAGAACTCGCAAGGGAGAGCCTCATAGAAACAGCGGCGCTGTGATGCATTACACTCCATTGCACTAGAGCTGTCGTGAATCATTCACGTCTCGTGCTGCTCTACATTCTACATCTTGCATGGACATCGAACCCTACTGCAGGATCGACGATGCTTCCCCAAGAGGCTTCGACTTCGAGTGGCAATGTCGTTTAATGAAGGCTCGCCGTTTTGTGTGGTTTCGCTATGCACCGCGATGATGGGTGCAAGTTCTTGCAGTCGAGAACAGGTGCAGGGATACCACGGGTGAGCTGTTGAATTATGCACGGCAGAGTGCAACATCATTCGCAGAAAGCTGATCGTGCACTGTGCTTTCTGGCCCTGCAGTGCATCTCCTACTGCCTGAGGCACGCGGAGGCTGGAGCAGGTGTTGAGAAGTTCTTAGAGTGTGTGGGGTTTCGGGTTCAGTGCTGAGCATTCAGGGGTCACTAGGCAACATGCATGTTGTGGCACATGAGCGAGTTGCCTGGCACATCGGAGACTTGAGAAGGTTTGCGAGCCAATCCGAAACGACTTCGTCGCACATCCCTCAGCTCAGCCTGATACCTCTCCTTCACGGATTCCCAGATATCACAGCCTGAGGCGGACTGCAACAGAGGCCGTGAGGGCGAGCTTCACGCGTGGCCGAAGCCCCAGCTGGAAAGTTGGTGGTGAGAAGCCGGCCTGCCAAGCGAACTCTGCGTCTGGATCGTCACAACTTCTCAACTTCGTACTGTAGAAGTGTCAGCTGGCTGGTGATGAAGTAGCTAGACTCAGCATTCCAGGACACTCTTGGAAGGACGGCAAGCATCTACATGATAGGGTCAGGTTGGATATCTCTGTGTTCGCATACCAGCTTACTGTTAGGGCCATGGTCTTCATTGTCAAGCTAATTCGGGCTGCTGTGTACCATTGACTTGTCCACCGTTGATGCTGCGCAGTGATGTGGTGTGCTCACGGGTGCGGCCAAATGCGTTACTGCCCGGGCCCCATCATGACCGTCAGCAAATTCAGCAACGTTTCGAGTCGAAGTTCATGCAGACCCGCAAACGGATCAAGAAGGCCGTGGACGCTTCTCGCCTTTCTGGTGATCGCCTGCACCGACTTCTCGTGGCACCCTCACCCGGTGTCAGAAGTGGGCGGCACGAGCTCCGGTCACGAAGTGGACGCAAAGGAGCTGAGCACGCCGGAAAGAAAGAGCCGTGATGCTGAGAAGACGATTGGCACGGGCAAGGGGGGGCCCCCACCTCGCCGCTGCTCCGCTCCTGAGATCTTGCGGCCGCTGCTCTGCTCCACCGACAGACAGACCAGTGAAAGACTCTGTTAGACGTTCAAACAGTAAGGACATGTTCACATATGGGGGGGATAGGTCCACTCATCTTCACCGGCAAGCCGGGAGCTTGTAGCAGCTTCGCCTCGGCGCTTTGTCCTTGGAGCCATGTCGAGAGCTCGCAAGCGAGAAGATGGGGAAGGGTTCGAAGAAGGCGCTCAAGCATCTCACAGCCGTTCTCTCAGGCTCGCTGTGCACATCCATGAGCCTCATGTGTCTCAGTCGCGTCTCGTTCCGCAGTTCCGCGTGCAGGCCTGGGGCGAAGCTTGAGATGGCCGGAGGCCCTGCGGCTCTTCCGGAAGAGCCAGGATCGTGGCCGTGGGGACACCGACGCTTGGTTCCGTGAAGGGAGGGCCCACTGCTAACGCCCAGTTCGCCAAGCGCCCTTTGAGGGAAGGATCGAGACGGGGCAAAGCATGCGGCTGAGGCCCTTTGCAATGCTGTCATTCGGGCACTCGGAGAAGGAGGCTGCTGGGAGCAGGTGCGGCCTGCGGAAAGCTTTGGCTTGGTCTCATTCTGGCTTTTGTTCCCTGGACAGGCACGTCAAGTCTTTGCAGAAATGCAGAGAGGCATTTCGCCTCCTCCCGACATCATCAGCATCACGAGCTTGATCACTGCTTGCGAAAGAGGCCTGGGCTTTCTTCCGTCTTCCGGTTGGTTGTTGTGCACTTGAGAGCTCGAGAACTCTTAGCTTTGACAGGCCGCAGATGGCAGTACGCAGTCCGTTTGGTGGCTCGCGAGCTGAGCGGAGGCAGCGGAGGTCGGCCGGCAGTCGGCATTCTTGCAAATTTCAGTCTGACACAGGAAGCTTCGCCGACTCGAGCGTCTGCAGCGCTTTAGTCAGCGCCTGTGCGGCCTGCCATCAATGGGAACAGGTCCTGGAAGGCACCCGTCCTCCCAAAAAGGAGCAAGTGACCTGCTCTCTCACTCCTCGGAGAACCCTCCTAAAAAAAAGGCCTTCGAGCGATGCGCGGCCGGGACTGGTTGCCATCGCCCGTGGCCATCTCGGCCGGGCTGGCCGCCTGCTCCCGCTCCTTACACTGGCAGAGGGCTTTGGAGCTCCACGAGGCATACAAATTCGATGGAGGACAGCCCTCAAAAAATGCAAAGGAGCACAGCACGCATTCTTTCAACTTCCGAGTCGCCAGATAATGTCAGGACCGGCCAACGAGGCAGTGTATGGGGCTGCTGTTCACGCCGCAGGACATGGCCATCAGTGGCAAACTGCATTGCTTCTTCAGAGAGAGGCACGAGGGGAAAGTTGTCGCACTGCGTCAGCTCTGAGCAGCTTTTGAGATTCCGCCTCCGCTAGATGCTGTCTCTGTCATGCCGGCCAAACATCGTGGTCAAGAACTCGCTGCTCAGCTCGCTCGCAAAGCTCGGGCACTGGCAGCTGGCCATGTGCGTCTTTGGAGAGATGGGCCCTTGCCAGCCGGATGTCAGGATCTCAGAACCGCGATCTTATTCGATCCATGCAGGGCCTTTCCTGTGCAAACTCTCAGGTGATCTCTTTCAACACGGCCATGTCCGCCTGTGAGAGAGGATGGATGTGGACGGCAGCGCTTCAGCTATTTGCACGCATGCGCAAGGAGTCGCTGTAGTCTGTAGTTATCCATCTTTACTAAATCCTCGGCGATGTCACTCCGCCGATTCCAAGCCGTTCTGAGAGGACCGGGTAAAGATCAGCAGCGTCAGTTGCAATGCGCTTCTCTCGGCGTTGGAGAAGGGCCAGCAATGGTCGCAGGCACAGGGCCAAGTTTCAGACTTTCAGTGAGCCATGCTTTGTGCCAGGAGACCTGCTTGGGGTCCTTTGCTATAGGAGGGCCTCTAGTTTCTGCTGGCCGGGCCTTCACGTTACCAGGCCATCAGCTTCTTGGACCGCATGCAGCGGCGGCGCCTACACAACCAGGTGCAAGCAATTGCAAGCACAAGTCACCCAAACTTGGCAGATCCAGTTCGAAACACTGGGTCAATGTGCGGCAGGTGTCTTTCAACTGCGCGGCTTCAGCCTGTGAGAAGGCATTGCGATGGCGGACCGCGCTGCTTCTCCGAGGTCCCCGCCCGGATGCGGTGGCAGTGGCTGTGCAGCTCGGCCGCTGAGGGGAGAAGCATGGACGGCATGTTGAAACGGGAGCGCTTTTAGCTACAAATGCATGTTTTTATGCGGGGGAGATTGGGGCCAGTTGGGGCTTTACTTCGCAGGTCCTGATTGAACGCGCATGGATGAGCTTTCGCACTGGGGTCTTGCATCTCGGAACCGGGCCTGGCATCTAAGCTGCCAAGCCTGCTACAATGACAAGGCATCAACACGCATCAACCATCATCAACTGGTTGAGTATCCACCAAGCTGCTGCTACAAAGCCTCAACCGGTTCTACATCGACCCTGGTTTCCTATTTTGGGATTTGTGTTGAAGTCCAACTTCAAGCTTGGTTTTTGGGCGGCGGCGTGACACGCGATTTTTGCAATTTTGATTTGGATTTGACATGGTGCGGCGAATATTAACTACTACTGCTGCTTCTACAATTACTATCCCTACTACTACTACTACTACTACTACTACTACTACTACTACTTATTACTACTACTTATTACTACTACTTATTACTACTACTTAGGCTCAAGGTGCTGCGTAGCAGCCCCCTCTTTGGAGGTTTGCTTTGCTT